TGAACCCTAAATCCTAAACCCCACCACAAGTTCCTCGCCAGCTGGATTCTGCTTCAGATGCTGGAGTGTCCTGCCTCCAGCGTCCGGGTTCTCAGAAAAGTTCCTTCTTTGCGTAAGCATTGGGTTAATATTAGGGTTATATTATATTGGGGTTATATATAGGGATAATGGAAAAGAAAAGGGAAACTACTATAGTATATTGGGGAAAAAATTGGGATAATGGAAAATAAAATGGAAACCATTATAATGCGGTTATATAGGGTTACTTCTTTGCGTTGTCTTGTTCCAGCTTGGCTTGAGGGATTTTCTGGCCATGGAAGGCAATGCAGTTCTGTCTAGCAGCAATCGGCACAACTGCCCTCTTTCCCGACAAGTGAAACCAAACTTCTTTCACAAGCTTGGGGCTGAGGGCATGCTACCAGCCGCGAGCGGCCGAGTGCCAAGGAGAAGGCCCACTGTCCAAGCTGCATGCAGCCAGAGTCGCACAGCACCTTGCTTCTGAGGCTGACCTTCACGGTCATGCAGTGTCGGAGGCTCTGCAGGATTGCTGCCTCTAACAAGGCAGTTATGATGGTCAACAATCACGTTTTCTTAGTCCTTGTGAGTGACTTTGTTCAACCACCACCGAGAATGGTTCGCAGCTGCTCCTCCGAACGGGCCATTGTCTGGCGTGTAAGACATCATGTCTTACTAGCACATGGGTGATTGTCAAAATTATTGGGCCCTTTTTGGATCCCTATTCTAATACGGCACCTAATATTTAGGGTATCCCAAAAATGATCATAATTTTGACAACCACCCACATGTCCTGTATAGCGGAGACTAGGTCGGGGCCTCGTCCGGGCAAAGTTCCTCCAGGAGGCGCCAGCAACGCACAGACAAGCGAAGGCCAGTACTCTAGTATATTGGGGTGATGTATAGGGGTAATGGAAAAGAAAATGGAAGTTACTGTTTAGCCTTTAGGGTTTAGGGTTGGGGTTATGTAGGGGTAATGGAAAAATGGAAGCTGCGGTAGTGTATTGGGGTTATATATATATATGCGTAACGGAAAAGAAAACGGAAACTACTTTGATGCGAGGTCTATGGGAGCCACCGGAGTTACCTGGTGAAGAACTTCCAGCTGCTGGCTTCAAGTTTCAAGGGTTTAGGGTTAAGGGTCGTCACATTGCCTAGTAGTTTCCGTTTTCTTTTCCATTATCCCCATATAATGCCAATATCCCCAAGCCCTCAACCCTAGATAGTAGTTTCCATTGCCCTTTCCATTTTCCCTATACATAACCCCAGTATTGTGTAGTAGTTTCCATTTTCTTTTCCATTATCCCTATATAATCTCAGTATCCCTAAACCCTAAACCCTAGATAGTAGTTTCCATTTTCTTTTCCATTATCCCTACATGACCCCAAACCTAAACCTAAACCCTAAATATTAGTTTCCATTTTCGTTTCCATTATCCCTATACATCCCCTGTATAACCCCAAAATAAACCCTATTATAATGTAGTAGTTTTCATTTTCTTTTCCATTATCCCTATGTAACCAAAGCTTGTGCTGAGGATCCCTGCGGACGCGAGCAGAACTTCACGGGTTTCGTCAGGCGGGTCCGGGAACTTTGGGCCGCCACCGTGTGCAGCCAATTTCTGCTTGGAGAAGGCTTGACGCCTAGTACTATAGTATATTGGGGTTATATATATACACTATTTATATATAGTATAATGGGATTTTATAGGGATAATGGAAAAGAAAATGAAATTGGGTGCCCAAAAATCTAGACCCAGCAGTAGACATCAGGCTTGGACAACCGAGCCGCGACCCTTCAAAGCTCTTCATCGACCTGACAGATGTGCTGCGGAATGGCAGTGCCAACAGCAGTGCCAGCGCCTCTGCATCCAGAGTCACAGGCTTTCAGTTTGGAATGCAGCACACTTAGAAGCATGACGAGAAACACAAGTTTCCCTTAGGTGACCGTGCTCGTGACGGCCATGAGTGGGGAGCCGTGTCTCTTCCATGTTGCAGTGTCGAATTCAATCCGTTACGAGTTCTGTCAAGACTTGTCATCTCACATGCCGAGGTTTAGATGGTGCTTACAGCGATGCGCTGCGGCCTCAGCGTAAAAAAGCTGTTTGCAGGCCTGAGAAGTTCTCTACTTATACTGGGAATTATCAGAGCTCTGCTCCAAGCCATCCTGCCTGCACATCCTCGCCTCCGTTTGCCTAGTGGCTTAGCGTCCGTCAGCAATGGGCTGCCTAATGGGGAAGGAGGAGATGGTTGGGCAGCCGCTGCCAAATGCCCCGTGCAATTACCCAAACGGGTGCCTTGCCAGCACTGCTAGTTTTGCTAGTTCTCTATCAGGAGCGGGCTGTTTCATCCTTCATATGCGTTTTCTTTTTGCCCAGGTACAGTAACGGATACCAGCGTGTCTACGAGCAGCCGATTGCACCGGGGCACTATGCGCCGGGGCAGTATGCGCCGGGGCAGTATGCACCGGGGCACTACGCATCGGCACAGCCTGTTATCCAGGACAGGTTCGGTTGCCAATCCGGTTTTCCAGATCCCTACCGAGCAGACTTCGCCTGCACTTCGGCACCTGAGCCGCTAGGCCAGCCACAAGGTTTCTATGGCCAGCAACCTTACGGCCAGCAACCTTATGGCCAGCAACCTTATGGTCAGCCTTATGGTCAGCCGGGGTACAGCCAGTCGGACTATGGCATGCAAGCCTACAATCAGCCAGTCGCTCAAGGTCAAGGCATGAGCTCAGGCACCAAGATGGCTATGGCAGCTGCGGGTGGTGTGGCCTTGGGGGCCGGTACAGCCTTTGCTGTTGAACATGCGGGTGATATTGCTCACTTTGCAGAGGGTGCAATTGATGATATTGGGGGCGTTGCGGGAGATGCAGTGCATGGTGTGGAAGAGTTCGTAGAGGATATCTTTTGAGGCAGGGCATGCTCCTACAAGTATAGGACATGCAGAAAGCCCTTTGTACAGATTGCCTTTACGGCTTTCTTTTGCGTTGCAGCCAACCCTTGGCAAGCGCATTTGTACAGGCTCGTTGCTGCATGCTCATGTAGATCGCAACGTATCGTAGCTGTGTTAAGAGTGTACCTTGTGCCACCAGTTGCCAGTGTGTATGTTGCAGACTTCTGATGCAGGATGTAGAGAAACTTCACGCAGAAGGAGTAGCGAAATCAGATGTTGCACTAGCTGCACACTACCTGAAGCCCAGACACAGGGCTTCCATGATGGGTTTAGGGTTTAGGGTTTATCCATGATGGGATTGCATGCTCAGGGACGGCTTCGACGTTACCAGGGCGGAGCCGTTGGAAGATACAGCCTGTCACTGAATTCTGGGGCCGGCTTGTATCATCTGCTTGCTTGTAGGCGATGGGGGAGATTACGTCGGACATTACTGGGTTGCTGTTATGAAGCTTCATTTAAGTTACTATACTGGGGAAGCCTTATCATTTACTCTATACATATATTTATACCACTTTTATACCCATTATGGTAACTTAATTTCAGTTCCGTAACAGCAACCCAGATTAGGCTCCTGAGCTTTATATGCCGAGGACAACTCGCTGCTAGTGATGAGACTCTCAAAGAACGGCAAAGGCGGGATCTTTGCCCGGGTTGTTTTTTTCTTCTGACACATATAGTCCCCCTGAAGTAGATAGAATATGGCATTGGGTATATTCTACTATTATACAAGATCCCCATATACCTCATATTCTATCTACTTAAAGGGGACTATAGTCACATAGCTGTTCGTTCCGGGACTACAGTCAGCCTGATCCTGAAGATTCGGGCCTTTTCTTTGATGCTGCTTCAATTTCTTGATCCCTGGAAGCTTGATTCATGATAGCTCACGAAGGAGTTGTATTTGCTGACCCGCAGCTGTTCCAGTCCCGGTGTGGACTCGCAGCCCCTATGAGAGGTAAGAGATAGATGAAGTAGCCAAGCTTCACAGATCTTACGCAGTCACCAGTCGATTATAAGCAGCAGGCCAGCCTTCTAGCATTAGTATTTTTGGGGGGGATACTATGGTACCCAATAATAATGGAAAATGATATGGAAACTGGGATTATATAGGGGTTATATTAGATTTTATTGCCATTGCCTTTATGTGTGAGGGCGGCCATGGCGACTCTGTACTTGAGCAAGCAGACAGCCCCGGCAGCCAATGCGGCCTGGAAGAGTCCGCACTTCTCAGCAATGAGGGTATCACGCGACGGAGGAGGATGTGTTCCAGGAATTGGGCTGCTGCTGCAGCACTGTTCGCTCTGGTTATCGCAAGCTTCGTGTTTCTGAAATCGGGGGGCCTCAGGCCTGTGACGTGGACACGGCCAGCCTCAGATCTCCCGCTTGTCAGTTTAGGAAAGGTTAGCCCGGAGACTAACAAGGTCCTGTGCCTGATTAATTTTGACCAAATCATTAGCCGTGTCATCAATCTGTCTTCAGGCATCGACCGCGTCACGAGGAATTGTGATCTTGAGGGTATCCGCCGCAGCGCAGGCAACGTAACTGATCTGGATCGGGAGATCTGTGCAAGCACTGCATTCGTGATCATCCTGAACGCGAATCTTCTTGTAGGTTTGATTACAGCCTCAATATCTTCTTGCACTGGAGCCCTCAATGTCCCTGCAAACTGTGGGACCAACATTGAAGCCTTCATCGGTGGCACTGCCATACTCCTGCAGGCAATACTGGCGGTCGACATCAACTGCGTGAAGCTAAAGAACTTGCCCATTGAAGAGAAGATTGACGATGCACTTTCTCGAGCGCGAAAACAGAAAGACATTGCAATACGTAATGCTCAGAAGTTTATCAAAAACGCCGGCGTCCACGTGGATGTGCTCCCAGCCCTACCGGCGGAACCAGTGCGTGCTGTATACTCAGCAACTGCCTTGTGTGTCTCGTTCATGCAGCTGGGACTCACGCAAGTCATGAGGTTGGGAATCCTCTTGGCAGATACCAGCATCCACTGCACTCCTCAGGAAAACTCCAAGCAGCCACGCGTCTGTGCGATTGACATCATTGGGCTATTGCTTGTTGTAAGTGCCATTGTCCGTGCTTTCGCATTGACTGCGAACCAGTGCGTCCTAATCGTGGGCGATACAATTCCGAGCACAAGATGCTTGCAGGCCTGTACTGGCGTCACAGCAGGCACTTTCGCTGTCACAGCGCGGTGCATGAACGTGGGGCCTGCTTGCAATCAGGCGTTCCAAGATTGGCACCCGAAGAAATGGCTTGAACGAGTGCGAGAAGGAAACGACCAAAACGTTCACTCTGGTATTCCAGACAAACTGCGTGAAGAACTAGAGATACCTGCAGCTTTTGGCACTGGCCTCAGTTGTTGCAATGGCAAGAGCACATGTAATTTTGAACCAGTGTTGTGGTCATAACAGAAGTTTTTTGTAGCTTCGCCAACGGCAGAACTAGACAACTGTGGACACCAAGTCAAAGCCGCAGAAATGGGTGCTGTTGCCCTTAAAGCCACATTCAGCTGTGAATGCAGTGCCGAGGCAATGTAATCATTCCGGATGAATAGGCACCAGGTGAGTTTCCTGGCAGCTTGCAGCAAGGGCTGTGAGCCTTTTTCCACTGAGACTGTGGCTCCAGACTTCCGCCTTGTCAGCACAGTTACGTTTTTGGTTTAGGGTTTAGGGTTTAGGGAGACTAGGTTTCAATCTGCAAGCGCCTGCTGCAGCTAACCCTAAACCCTAAACCCTAGTCTGAGCTGAAGGGCAGCCCCTGGAGCAACAGTCACTCCGGCGCATATCTGTTGCGAACTGAGCATGCAGTATCCCTATATATAACCCCCATATTATACTATATAACCCATTATACTAGAACCCCAGTATATACCCAATAGAACCCTAATGTACTCGCTGTGTGCACCCAGCTTCGGGTCGTTAATTTGCTCCGCAAAGCCTATCGTTTGCCGTCGGCCAGCCAACTAAGAGGCGGATTGTACAGGGTTTAGAGTTTAGGGTTTATGGGGAGTTTAGGGTTTAGGGATGGTTTGGGGGTTTAGGGGATGGTTTGGGGCTTAGGGGGGGTTTAGGGTTTAGGGCTTAGGGATGGTTTAGGGTTTAGGGTTTAGGGTGTAGGGTGTAGGGTTTAGGGTTTAGGGTTTAGGGACTGTAGGGAAGATGCTTGACTTGAAAGGCTTGTTGGCAGCCGGTTTTGTTTTGACAACTGCGATGTCAGGGAAATGCTGCCTTGGGCTAAAGCGCAAGGCAGAAACGCAGCTGCAAAAGTGGGTTGATTAGTGGATGCCTTGGGATGCGTTGCAACTTACAGAAACTGCATACAATACACTACAAGATATTATAGTAAACTGTAATATACCATACTATAATATACCATAAAATACCATAATAAATTGGAAAGTTACTATAATATTTAGTTGCCAATTCACGGCAAGGTTCCAAGGCTGTTGTGCCCACAGATGTTTCACTGCATAGGTCCGGAGGCCACTCGTAAATCGAGTGCCTTATCGGCTGCTGCAGCCCCGTGTTGCAAACAGCGCGGTTGCTGCGCCATTCTCTGGACTTGTGCTGGCTCTCAAAAAGGGCTCTCTCTCTTTCTCTCTCTCTCGTTAATTCCGTTATGCGGAGCCTTCCATCCTCGTGGAGTATTCAGCAATTCTCACAGCTGCCTGGGGTCAGCCTGTCTCGTACGTTGCCAAGACAGAACTCGGCGGACAGCGCGATTCTTGCAGTCCGGAGGTCCCCAGCCAATTCCTAGTAGAGCAACCTTGTTTACTTAAGAAGACTAGCCACTGTAACGATCAGAAGCGCATTCAGTTTCAGTGCGACATGTCGTCACAGGTATCGACTTCTACCGACCAAGCATGAACATCCGCACCTCAGACAACCAGTCTGAAGAGGCTTGCGAAGTCCAGCGTTTTGGTGCCTTGCTATCTCTGCCCTCGACCCTAAGGCCCTGAACCATGAACCCCCTGTATAATCCCTATGTAGTCCCTACATAATCCCTATATGGTAGTTTCCCTAAGAGGACCCCCATGTAAACCCCAAAATAACATAATCCTTATTATGGGGACCCCCAATAAGGTACCCCTAATTTTGGGAAACCTTCATATAATATTGTAGTTTCCATTTTCTTTTCCATTATCCCCATGTAACCCCAATATATACGACATTAAATGTAATAGTTTCCATTTTCTTTTCCATTATCCCTACATAACCCCAATAGATATATACATATATATATATGTATATACTTATAATGTAGTAGTTTCCATTTTCTTTTCCATCATCCCCATATAACCCCAATTATCGTCTTGCGTTGGTTGCTTCCAAAGCCCCTCACCTCAAGCCAAACACTGCATTGTTTGACGGCACATGTGTGTGCGTTGTAACACGGATCGATAGAATATTGGGGTTTATGTTGGGGCTATATTGGGGTTATATTGGGGTTATCTTGAGGTTGTATTGGGGTAATGTTAGGGCTATATTGAGGTTATATTGGGGTTATCTTGAGGTTATATTGGGGTATTGGGGTACTTTTTGTGGTTATATTGGGGTAATATTGGGGTTATACTGGGGTAATATTAGGGTTATATTTCTGAGCTTAGCTTTGGAGAGGCGGTGCGCGAGTCTCTCGGCGACGGCTGGCTCGGAAGCCTGGAACGGCTGCGGTGCAGAGGCAGGCCCCAGGTTTAGGGTTTTGGGTTTAGGGTTTAGGGTTTAAGGTTTAGGGTTTTGGGTTTAGGGTTTAGGGTTTAGGGTTTGATACCAGATCCCGATGGATATTGTCCCCCTCAGGTAGATAGAATATGGCACTGGGCATATTATAGTAACACCCCTATATACCCCATATTCTATCTACTTAAGGGGGACTATCTCCCAACGGATACTAATGTATTTGCATTTTTAGCAAGCGTCCGTGAAGAGCTAAGTTCATTTAGCCTT